TCACTACCACAAACTTTAGCTGAGCAATGACTGTAAAGAAAAACCAATTTACAGAGTGAACTGTAGTGTATTTTTTTCCTAAAACCACAACGTTTTTATTCTCTTCGTTATATGCGTTCAATATTTGCTCCAAGTGCTCCACAAGCCATCCACATACACAACTTTGCTGTGCTCCTGCTGAAAAGGAACATGGCACGCGTCACAAATTAGAAAAAAGCGCAAAATTTATGCTGGAAGCATAAAATCGTGATTGCAAATGTGGCGTCTGGTTGATATTTAATTTCTTGGATGTGATTTCGTGAAGCATTAAATCAAGTCTAATGTGTCGCATTAGCGTTTGTTTACGTTCAATACGTGCATATTTCTACCATGGCTTCCGGTTTTATCGGAAGCCCTAATGATTTTTGTTGATTTTTATCCGTTTTTTCAAACTAATGTAACAGGTAAACAAGCTTTGGTAGCAAGTAGAAACCGGAAATAAATTTCTGTTAAACATACATATGTCAACAGACATATACGTATCCCGGATACATATCCCTATATGCGAAGTATAACGTTAACGTATATAAATGTTAACGTTGGTATAAAACTTAGTCATCTTTAGTCAATTTTATCGAAGCTATTAATAAACTTTTACTACTATGGTATATCACTTTTTTTTTGTATTCTATTGGGTGCATTGTATATTATTTCTAACTTTCATAACGTTTCACAATGTTCTATGTGCTATTCTAAAACGAAAGGAAAATAAATCCTTTACTCATTTTTCACTTTCTAAACTTTCACATTTGAATTTTTCATTTGCTGGGCGCTCAGCTTTTCATTTCACTGTAAAGCTTAGGCAAAAGTTTGCGCTCTTTTCAGTGTTTTGTGTTATCCTTTACGTCAATGTAACAAACGTTCAAGGATATTTGAACATTTGGAGCAATTGGCCTACAACAGCTAGGATTTAATTCTTTTGCTTTGCCTTAACCATGCATCGGCATTTGCAACTTGCACATTTTTGGGGTTGTTTTATTTCCATTGGAAGAGGAGCACAGAAAAGTTATAGGGCAAATTGAAACAGTGGAGAGTATTTAGAGCTTAGATAGACCAATACATGTGAATACAATACTTGGTTAGTCCTGACAATCACATTTATTTCTTTATTGGATTTTAACAGAGGATAAACAAAGTAAAAGGCAACCAAGGAATAGTTTTTTTTGGCTTAAAAAATTTTTTTTTATGGAATAAAAGAATGAAATAAAACTATTGAGTATAATTCCATTTAATACTTGTTCCTTTCAAATAAATAATTTCCTCAAACCATTATATACACGCGTGTATTAATAATATTTCGTTATTTGTTAAAAGAGTTATTTAATAATTAATTAATATATTTCGTATATTTTCATAAAAAATAATTTAAACGGTAATTCAACAACTCAATTAATAAGTAAATAACACACATTAAGTTATTGTTAAAAGATTCACAATAAATAAATAATTAATTTCATTAATTGGAAGGAAGTACTTATTTTTATTACTTAATTATTATTATTATTATTATTCATTTCATAACCTTCATTAATTGAAATATTCATTTTTTGAAATTATTTGCTTATGCAAATTTGAACTTAACATTAAAAACTTACTGACTGCGAAGAATGAAACACACTCTACTCTGACTTACAGTTTTATTACTATGATTATTATTACAGTATTACTATAAATTTTTTATTATTATGTTGACTCGAGTTATTTCAAAACCCTTCTTTACACCTTGACTGGATTATTGTTTATCACTTCATCAGAGTAAGCAATAATTGACCTCAGATCTGCATACCTCCCTGAGGAGCCTCTAACTATTCTGAGATATGGTAATGCGATGTTGTTAATTCTATTAGTTTTCGTAAATAATTTCAGGGCTCTATCCTTTATGTATTTTTTGATGGGATCAATCTTGAGGTCCCTGAGGATGTCATTCGTCCTAATATACCATGGTACATTGAAAAGTCTTCTCAGAGCCTGACTTTTTGCAATTGTTAGCTGGCAAATAGTAGTGTTTGAAGCTTCGTTTCTTAATTAATTTCCAAAGATGTTATGAGTCTGCTAAGAATTAAATCTCGTTCAAGGCCAACAACACTTCATTTTTTAAAAGTTAAGTCTGTTAAACATTTAATACTGTCAAACAATAGTTTCTGAATTTGAAAGCAGACCTGTTCTATCATATGTTCCGGAAGCAACTGACGAATCAAGCGAATACCGAGCTAAAAGTGAGCTAATATTGAAAAAATAGCGCCGAAGCCATTTATAAATCAGTCATAAATCGAATCATAACAGTTTTCTTTGATTCTAGTGGGGAAAGATGTAAATATCCTCTGTCAAACCAAATTGTTCACAAGGAATATATTTTAGACATAAGTTAAAATTTACGTAAAACTGTTCTTGAAAAGATGTCAGGACTATGAGAAGATCATGCATCGTCTTATACTACATTGACTCTTCGAGACCATTTTACCATAAATTCAACTAACATAATTTCACAATGATTTGGCATCGTGTCACTCTTCTGGCTCTTCCCGAAACTCAAAAAGACCACTTAGGGTACTTCTTATTCAGAATCCAGAAACCAATAGGAACTCAACAGGATCATTTACATAACATTCGAAATGTAAAACATGAAATAATATTTAAAAAGAAATTTTACTGACTGTACAAAAGATGTTTAATCTTAAAAAATTGAATTGTTTCTTCTGCATTAAGATTTATATTTATTTACAATAGAGTAAATAAACGTAATTTTGTAATTTTAGTATCATCGAAAAGTTTAGTTGGACTTAAAGCTGAATTGTCTGTAACATTATGGATTACAGCATCAATTATGTGAGGTTTTAAATATTTTCTTTTTATTGAGAATCATATTTTTATTATCTGCAAAAAACCAAAGGCTAATATTAACTCAGTGAATTATGACCATGCAGTCAAATTAAACTACAAATCCCTCCCAGTCTAGTTAATCAGAGTGTAAAAAAGCAATATAATAAATAGTACGTTATAGCACCAATTGCTCGTTTTAACCTTTTCATATTAATGAAAAAAGATTTGCATAAAACCCCGGCAATTTTTATATATAAATCAAATTTATTACACGTTCGGAAAGCCGTAATAAAAAAACTAAAATTTTAAAACAAAATATTATGATTGATATAATTTGGCTGGCAAACTGACATTACAAATAAGTACTGTTATTAACAAAATACACTCTCGGAACACCACAAAGAGGCCTTCTCCGCCAGACATTTACCACAACATATTTGCATCAATAACTGAAAATGTTTGTGGGGAGAAACTGAGGTCCACCATAATTTATGCACCCCCACAGAAAACCGTCAAATTTTTGCATTAAAACGTTTGCCATCCACGTAACTGAGACAGCCAAATATATGAAACAGTTAAAAAAATAATAATAATAAAAATAAAAATATATAAAAAAAAAAACAACAAAAATCTGAAAAATTATATGAACTTGGAAAAACAATAAATTATTGTGCCAGAGTTGAGTGAAAATTCTGCTGCATTTATGTGTAATTTCAATAAAAAATAATTTTATATATTCGCAGTGAAAACAAATGTGTAAAAATATTTAACGATTTTCCTTATATAAATGAAAATGTTTCAAATACTAACAGGCATAAGGACACCCTACGCAATATGTGTTAATGGAACTGAATGATATGAGAATGGCAATCTCTAAAATTTTGGATTGACTCGAGCTAAAAGGCGTTATAAAATCAAATCAAAAATTGTTTATGATTGAGAGTTATGAATTCATACATACTTAAAAAAATACAATCCTCCAAACTGACGACTTAAGTATTAAATAAATAAAGATACGAGTTAATATACAAAGCACTGTGAATAGATAACTACGCTCATGCAATTACTATAAGCTTCAAGAAAGAAAAAGTTCAATACTAACTACTCAAACTACTAAACAAAATCTTCGGAAGATCTATGGTGCCTTAAGCGTTGGCGACGAATATTGAATTAGATGGAACAGTGAACTTTGTACCGCTATACCGCGACATTGACATAGTTAAGCACATACGAAATTCAGTGACTTGCTTATATCTTGCGAATGAAAAACAGTCCTCCGGCTAGAACGATGTTTGATTCGGTACCCGCAGAGGATATATTCGGTGGAAGGACCAGGTGATCAACGATTTGGGAGCGCTCGGTACTACCAACTGGCGACGGCAAGTTACTAATCGGGCGGACTGGCGGAGGCTACTGGACGCGATCAATGACAACTCACGCGGTCAATGACTAAGTAAGTAAGTAGTATATAAAGTAACTACTCAATTGACTCATATTATTGCTGATATAATTCAAAATACGGTGTGTATATTATTTCTTCTTATTTGCATATATAGCGATAACTGCAGATTACAGCAGTTCTGATAGCAAATATGGAGTGTAAGTACAAACTGAAGATTTATTGACAAAAAATGTCTTAAGTTCCAGTGAAGCCTAGAAGTCTAGAAGATTATTTAAATGCGTAGTGCAGCTCCATTTTATTCTTAATACGTTTTCACAGTTATTGAAAAATGTGCAATTATTTAATAATAATTAAATATTAATTTAAAGTTTTGAACTTTAACTATTAAGTGTCACTAAAAAGATTTAAGTTCATTTCAACATATACATACGAGTATAGTTACCAAACAGCCTTTTAAATAAAGTGGATAGGGTATAAAGAAACAGAAAGGGTGCAGAAATAATGGCAGTCTAGTGCAATTACAGATATTTAAGGTTATGATTTGGGGTCCCTCAGATTTATTATTCCACTTAATTTTAATGAAATTTTTTTACGCTTATTTTTCTAAATTAATATAAAAAATCTAACTGAAGTGTGAATATAAAAATAAAAAATTTGTTCTCATTTTTCTATTTTCTATTTCCTTAATTTTAAAAATTATTATGCCACATTTTATTTTAAATTGTATTTAGGCACTTACTTGTACGCATATTCCAAATTATCGCCACATCCACCCCAAGTCCAATCGTCGTGCAATTGTTTTGGTCTGGAACCGCGCGAGCAGCCACACGAAGCCAATTGACCATCTCGACAGGCACGTGCTATAAAACTTGTAACAGTGGCGGCAGCCAAGGCATGAATAAATGCCATTTCCGGTGAACCTAAGACAAAATTAAAATTTGGTGAAAATTAATTAGGTTGAATTTGAAACATTAAACATAAAATATAGCTGATGCTTGAGGCATGCAACAAATGGCAGCCAATTTACATTTTTTGGATTTTATAGTGCCATGCCGAGCAAACAACACAGTCATAGTCAAAAAAGAAACAAGCATTTATAAAGCTTTGACATCTAACAATGTAAGTGATAAGAGTTTTCAAGTTATTGTGCCCCTTTTTAAGTAAATATCTTCGATTGCCCTGTGCTCGTACACATCAAAGTCACTGCCGCCTGCAACAACAGATGCTTAATATTCCTTAAGGTGTATAAGCAAACTGTCATTAACTGCTGTCGACAATGATAAAGTTTGTTTTAATAATGAAGATTTAATAAAGTTAATATAATGCCGAGTATCTGCCAGTAACAACAGCATCTTCCGAGTGTATCTCACAGATACAAACTATGTATTGTATAATGTTACTAATATAAGCAACAGACACGAGAATGAATGCCATCGAATGTCAAATCAATTTGAGGAGAAGATGCCGACTTAATAATTATGATAGTTGGCAGCCTTCGCTGCTGAGAAAACTTAAGAGCTCCAAACTAACACGGAATAGTTACGAGTATATTCAGTGGAAGTTGATCAAAATTATCATTCTTAAGCAGCTTTCACAAATGCATTTGATGTTAATAATTTCTATTAAAAAAGTTTTATGTTTTTACTGCTCTGCCTTTTCGTCTTGTTTTACGTATCTCATCCTTTGAAATGCGTCACAGTGACACTGTCATATTAAACTTTTGGATAGAAGATATTTTTTATTACTTAACCACTTAAATATTTTCTGCTTTCAAATAACATTGCTACTTAGTTGAGCTCGGTTTGGTTTGGGTTTTGGGTAAGAATAACGATTGGGTACACAACGGTTCTCGAACATCGATTTCGACTTATATTTATGCGGTTGAGTAAGTTTTAATGAAAAGTTGATTTAAGCCGATTACAAGGGCATGAGTTATAAGCTTCGTGTCACTGGACAGGAATGGCATAGTATGCTTTTTTATTTTATATCGTATTAGGGAAAACCGAATGGTCAAAATATTTTTTATGTAGTATTATTATAAAAAAATAATAGAAAAATTTCACTTTCATAAATATTTATATGTTTACATGAGTATTTAATTATTTATTTGCTATAAATTTTGAGTACTTAATTATTTATTTGCTATAAATTTTATATTTTTTATAATTATATTTTAATTATGACTCATAAATAAATATATATTTTTTTTACATTCAAATATTTTTAGACCCTTTGAAATTGAATTGAGTGATTTATCTGAACAATACTTCAATGAGACTAACATATGTACATATCTTAAAAAAATGTGGTTTAACTCATTTTAAAAATTATTTATTATTTAACTTTAAAATAATTAATTTTTTAAGATGTTAAAATTTTTAATAAATAACATTGTAAGGAGTAAAGTAATAAATTTATAAATGGTTTTTATGGTAGATCGGAAACTTGTTTGGATCCCAAAGCAAATTGTGCTAACATTTTGGTCGCAGTGCTTTGATCCGTTAGGAGCTGGTACCCTGTTTATTTCTCTTCTATCATTTGAAAAGTTTATGGTTTTTAATGAATTTTCTTTGTTATATTATTCTTATTATCAATTTCTTACTCAAATACTGTTTGGTTTTGATTTATGTTAATATATACATTAAAGTCAAATTAGGCACCGACTGCTTGCATGATCGAAGTGCAGGAGTTTATTTTATAATTACATTCTTTTAATTGCAATTCATTGAAACATCAAAATGTGTACAAGTAAGTCCATTTCGTTGTAAAGACATTTTCAATGTCCAACATTGATCATTTTTGGTCTTGGTGTGGAATATAGCTATGAAAGATTTTTAAGTTTTAAGAACTATCTATAAAAACAGAGACTATCTTCGTACCTATAAAACAGTACGTTTAAAACCCTATTAAAGGCTTGCAGATTGTTTTGAAACAAAATATTTCATTCTTCGGTTTCAAGGCGTTTTTTTTAATTACCCTTAAGCTACTCGTCTAACAGAAATTGTTGTTATATATAGAATTACATGTTATTATTATGTACTGCAATAAAAATGGTTCCACTACGCATAATTCTATAGATTCTTTGTTTTTAACTCTATATGTTAATATTTTAGATTAGTTGGAGTATAATTAGTGATACGATCGACAGGAGTTTCTATGTAGATACAACAATGCAACTTAAGTAATGAAGTCTTTCACTGCTAAGAGCTGAATATTCACAAAAAAATGTGTTCTAAATTATCAAGATCTATTTCACAAAATGCACAGATATTAGTGTAGGAAAGATAAAACTTATTAAAGCGATACCTCAGAATGCAGCGACCTCCAAAGTAACCTTCCTTCGATTAAGTCTGCTTAAAAAAGTTCCTTTTTAATATTCCTTTTACTATAATAAGAAAATTTTTTGCTTAACGAAGACCGCATTATTTAACCAATGATCTACAAACTTTCTGTTTCTGACACTTGCTGATAACTTCACTCAAATAGTTTTTTAGGAAATCGCATAAGGGTTTAAAATGGGTTCGTATAAGGATATATTTGAATTTCTTCTGGTCAGATCATAATCAGCGACTTCATTATCCTAATGTTCTTTCTGTCTTGGGATCCCATTCTAATATTACAATGTTAAGCTTTTATAACTTTTAAAGACTGTTTTTTATAAAGACTCAATATTATATTATAATTAATTATTCTTACAACTTTATTCGAATAGATTTTTGTATATTTGTAGACCGATTTAGGATCAGTTAAAGGCATTTTTGGAACTCTTTTAGCTCAGATCATGATCAGTTACTTTATTACCCTAATGTACTTCATGTCATAAAATTCTATTCTAATACTACAGTTTTGAACTTCCACAACATATTGAGACGGTTTATTATGCAGCCTTCAATCGTTATAATAATTTACTTAAAGTTTTTAATATTGGCTCAACCTTTAATGATTATTTATGTTAAGCTGGAAAATAATGTTAAGCTTGTTTGTAAGTATAACTAATGTAGCTATCTACATACATTAAAGTGAATTTATTCCAGAGTAACTTAGTTACAAATAATATAAAATATTTATATAATTTTATGCAGCAAATGCTACCATTTTCGGAACTGAATTGCATTATGGAATTATTTTTATACATAATAATTAAAATAAATTAAATATGCAATTTACATACAAAACTCTGTGGCATTATTATTATTATTAATGTTCAAATTCCAACTTGATAGAATTGTTTATCATACTTATACGGATTGAGTAGATTTGTTCTATAAAGCAAACCGATTTGCTTTGTGTACATAAAATATGAAAAAAAAAAAAAAATTGCTGTAAATATTATTACCGGAAATATTTTTGCAACAATCATTTTATTGAAGATATTTAATTGAAATGTCAACGATTTCCTCGTACAAAGTTCTTGAAGAAATTTTATATTTACTTCAAAATAAATAACAAATCAAAGTTACCAGCTGACGACATAATCAACTGAAAATATAATACACTGAAATCTTAATTCGTTATGCAAAATCCATCATGTAAAAATTGAGAAAAATCTAATAATAACTGTGTGTTAGCATTATACAATAATATACCCCTAATATAAATGCAAACCACATCCCCTTTTACGATGAGATGAAACAAAAGCAAAAAAAAAAAAATTTTAAAGACCTTAAAATGGAATAAACCTTAAAATAAACAGTGCAAACCAAAAGTCAATGAGACCTTCAAATCTCTGAAATGAATTCATTTTTTGCTTAGCCACGCATAAATCGGCACATTTTCAAAATCGTATCGTATTGATTCACAAACAAGACAGATTTCAGTGCCCAGCAAGTTGACAGTCGCAATGATTGAATACCAAAAACGAAGGATAGGAAAGAATGCTTAAAGATTATCGCACATGATATGCTCATATTATTTTCTGGGAACAGCTGCGTTTTGTACAAACATTTCACAAAATCCATGGAGATTTACGACGACGTACACGTTCAAGTACCACTCAACCGCGTGTACTGGGTTAGGAAAAGGGCTTGCACAGCATTAGTGTACGATAAATACGTTCTATACGTTTAGAACACAACTGTTTTGAATTACTCTCCACACATAAACTTATCTGCATATCCTGTCATGAAAGTCATCAGTTTTCAATTACAACGTTTGCATTTTCCTTTCTTTCACATAGATAGATATATGGGTATACTAGTTTATTCCTTATGTGTTTTTTATCGATTATAATAGTCAATTTTAGTAAAATTTTGATTTTTATCTTATGATTTCAAAAACACAAAAAAATGAGCT